ATGCCCCACCGACTTGTGAGAGGGCAAAATGAGAATGGTGAGTGAAGGCGAATGTTTTGCACGCTGGCTTCGCATGCATGCATGATAAACCGTGTAACGCGAACATGCTCGTCAATCATGGGCTATCACATCCTCCCAAAGCTCGTTTCAGCCCGTTTACGTCACCAACAATCAGGTCGGGAGAGACGGGGCTTTGGGTGGGTGACGTGAACCCGCAAATGTCGGGTTAAAACTCATTTCGCCCTAAAATTCAACCAGATTCTTCAGTAGGGAGGGGCGTACTTCTGGAATCTCTTCCTCATTGAGCCAATTTCCCCCTCAAGACTACCCAAAAAATCAATACATTCCCCCTGGCACAAACATACCACCTAATTCGAATCAATAAACAGTCATCAAAAACGGGGCGCCTGGTCATGAGGGCTAGATAAAAAACCACATGATGCACGAACCTGATGCTGCCACGCCCAAGACAAATTTAGCCCTATTAACTCATCGGGAAAAAATCTAGGTGAAAAATAGCCTTTTTTCAAGCCAAAAAATTACACAAAGAACATAATCTATGTTCATTCTACTATGAATAAGTCCAACAAAATCTTCACAGATTTGATCTCTAATAAGTAGAACAATCAACTAAATTTGTAAATAAATCAAAACAAAACACAACTACGACAAACAATGAGCTCCAACATGGAATAAACAGTCGCACAGAAGAAGAATTTCAACAAAATAAGCCATTTTTTATCAATCATCAATCAACACCGAACAACAAAACGAGTTCGACGGTGGGCGTACGCTACACAGTGGCAACACCACTGTCGCGACCCTCCGCCTACTCGCTCAGCGCTCCATCGTCCTCATCACTCGACGATTCCGTGCCATCTTTTCGCAGAAAATGCGCGTACACCAGCGTCTCAGTCTGGAAAAAAAGGTGCGCTGTTGTAAAACCCTATTAGTTCGTACGAGAAAATTCGTATAAAACTGAGCAGAGATAATTTTTCAAACCTCATCCACTCACTCCGGTTACATCTTTATAAAAAAAGGTAATCTTCTGATTCCACGATCCATAACCCCTTGCTATGCGTGCGATGGTCACCAGAGGTGAATAGCATTTTTGTCCTATTAATCTTTTTTGCCCTCCCCCCCCCCCGAGAATTTGTCCGTAGTGGTACTTTGAACACGAGTATCCCACTCACTTAGCCCGAAACCGATTGGCGCCTGCGCCACAGGCGCCGTCTTCTTGTATTTGTTTCGACTCCAACGCGGATTCTAAGGCGGTTTCTAGCTAAGTGGTGTGCATAGGTAGTGGGGGGGGGGGGAAGGAAGAATTGGGGACAAGA